ACACACACACACACACTCTCCCACGACATTTCTTTTTCTCTCTGTTTCCCTGTCTCTGTGTTTTATTGTGGTTGCTGTTGTTTCTCATAAATTTAACAACATATAATATATTCACTGTGAAACTGTAAGTGTTTTTCTATTCATAAATTCCCCTCCTCCATATCCTTGTCTTCTGTCTTGTGCAGCCCTATCTGAAGAGCTGGTCCCAGGACCTTGGTGTCCCCATCCTGTCGGTGGACTACTCTCTGGCTCCTGAAGCCCCTTTCCCGAGGGCCCTGGAGGAGTGTTTCTATGCCTACTGCTGGGCTCTGAGAAACCACCACCTACTAGGTACACACATCACATAGCATTGTTTTTACTGGAGTGCTGACTTTGTAACTCCTCTGTACCTTTTCTGTTTCATTTTTAATGTCATAGGAAAAGTATATGCAGTTGAAATGATATAAACATGGCAGGTAAAAGAAAGTGGATTATTAAAATTAATGAGCAGGCACAACAAAAGGGGTAAAAGTCACTTTGAGAGTGAAGGTGTCCTGTGGACTGCTTCTGTAAACCCAACCTACGGTGCCTGTATCTCTCGAGAGGAGTCATTCATCACTTTGAAAGTAATCATACTGCAGCACGATGTCTTGCACTGTACCCCTTGTTCTGTATTATCACACAAGTTGTGATGCTCAATATTAAGGCAGAAAACAAAAGACATCTGGTTGGTTTGGGGTACATCTGACCGCTGAAGCACACTGTCAAATTAACAGTGATCGCAGTTTAATATGCTAGTGTTGTAGTACAAGAAGACAATATCACTGCCATGAGGCAGGCAGTAAGACAACAGGCCCTCACAGCAGCCACATTTTCAGCAGTGTTACTGTAGAGAAAAGAGATACCTGATGAGTGAGTGCACCTCAGTGGATTTTTCACAGTTGCAGAAAAGTTTTTTTTCTCTTGTCTCCTTTTATTTTGTGTTCCATTTTTCTATGTTTCCCCATTGAATTATGTTTCTTTCCCTGTTTTCCTTTACTTCTATCATCATTGTCCCATTTTAATGCTTCCAGGTTGGACTGGAGAGAAAGTGTGTTTGGCTGGTGACAGCGCGGGAGGCAACTTGAGTCTGACGACATCGATGCGAGCTGCTGCCTTCGGTGTGCGAATGCCAGATGGCATCGTGGCAGTCTACCCGGCTACCCTGCTGACTGCCTACGCATCGCCCTCCCGTCTGCTAACACTTATGGATCCCCTGCTGCCGCTCAGTGTGCTCTCCAGGTGTCTCAGCGCCTACGCAGGTAGGAGTGTGCGTCTGTATTTTCAGAAGAAATCCAGCCAGGATTCCTTTTTATAACCGTTGAAGTTGAGAATCTCTCTGTCATTTCTGCGTGTCTCTACCGTCAGCTGCTCCACATCATTCATACTCTTGCAGAATGGTCTGGACTGTAGCTGTAGGTCTGTTAACAGTAAGGATGCTGGCAACAACTTACATGATTAGGTTATCAAGTTAAGATTTGTAAGTGTTTTTTCTTTCAGGGCTAGAACAGCTATTTTCATGATCAATTAATCTATTCTATTCCATTTGATTAACTAATGTCACCTTTATAAAAAAGTGATTTCTTCAAATTGCTTACCAAGTCTGAGTTGCTGCTAAAACCTGAAGTACAAGTTTATGTTAATGAAGAAAGCAGCTTTGACAACAACTAAAACAACTTATCATTTGTTTAGCTAATGTCTGCACTGCCAATCTTTTAGGACAGTAATAATGACAGTAATAATGATCATAAAACTGTTTCTAAATTCCATATGTAGGACACAATGTGTATAGTGTATATATCAAGTGTATAATATATATATATATATATATATATGAAGTATATTCAACTCCATAAGAATGAAAGAAACCTTCTGAAATACTAATGTTCTAAAATAGTTGCTCCAGTGTGAAGTAGAGCTGTGTTGTATCGCGTGTGGAAAACCTTCACTGACAACAATTCAACTTATTAGCGTATGGATTGTTGTCGTTATTGCATGTAAAAAGCAGAAGAAACTCGTATTGATAAATTGTTGTCTCACAAGAGGAAGAGGAGATATTGTCTATCCTGATCTTTCAATAACTGAAATAAAACACTTATCATTTTCTATCCTCTCCTACTGTCATCACTATGTATTGTTGTCTGCAAAGTAAATTGCTATGTGGCAGTATTGAACCTACTCCATGGTTTTCTTTGCTATACTATTATTGCTTTTGCGTCTTCTCTGTTGTTACCCATTCATGCTTATTCAAGAATAACAAAAACACTGTTGTACATCTCTTTCCCAACTAAACCTTCCTTCTTGTCTCCTTCTCCAGGCAATGAGCCGCAGACAGAGACGCAGGTAGAGAAAGTGAGCACGCTGAGCCTGGTGAGGAGAGACACCGCACTGCTGCTCAGAGATTTCCGACAGGGAGCCTCCAACTGGATCCAGTCTCTGTTGGATCCCAACAGAGCCTCACCCTCTCCCAGCACAGCTGCAGAGGCGCCACCAGGAGCCACTGGTATACCACCAACTGTGACTGTGTGCATGGGTGTGTTTGTGCGTGCATGTGCAGTCAGGTGGGAACATTAGACACAATGTGGGTGGCATAAATGTGTTCTGCTTGGCAGCTATTGTGATCAAAGTTTTCTATGGATGCAATCTGCTCGTGTCTTTGATCACATCCATCAGCTGAAAATACAGTTCAGATCTCAGTGTGGGGGGCTGTGTGTGTGTGTGCGTGTG